TGTAGAAAGGCCTGACCCACTGCACACATGTGTTTGTACGCTGCGGCCGGGTGCGGAAACCCCTGAAGGCACCCTACGAAAGACCGTTCCGTGTTCTCTCCCGCAATGAAAAGACCTATCGGATCCTTCGTGGAGACAAGGAGGACGTGGTCAGCATCGATCGAGTCAAGGCTGCTGTTACGGAAGAGCCGCCGGACTTGCCACCAGGACAAACTTATGCTGATTCTCTACCCCATGTTCCTCCATCCCGTGCTGCTTCCCCTTCCAGCTACGAAATCCCATCTTCCCGTATATATCCCCTCCCTACAGATTCCCAACACCCAATTACTACGACACCCCCCACAAACGTAGCAACCACTTAGCTCTCTCCAACTGTTCCTCCTGTTTACATCACTCGTTATGGACGCCATGTTCATTTTCCAGACCGTTTTTTGCCTACGTTTTTTAGGCATCAACTCTACCTTCGGTCTTGCGGGGGGGGGAAGGACTGTAGGAATCCGTCGCCCAGAGCCACTGCGCTGACTCATGCTGCCTTTCGTGCACTGAGCTTCGCTCGCTGCGCGCTATTGCCCTTTTGTACGCTTGATGTCAACTCACCACGTTTACGCTTCTAGCTAATCGATAATCCTGCCTCATTTGATTAGTGCCAGCCGATTGACCATTCATTGCACAGCCTCCACTTGTCACATCCCGACTTTTGCACCTGCACGGCTGGCTTTCGTACGCGGCGCCACTGCACAGCTTTTTAACAGTAAAGTTGTTCGAGTTCAATCAGTCTTCCCAAACTTTTTATTTGGGGATCTTTTTGGTGTTGAGACAGCAACCAGTTCTCAATACATTTACCTAAATAACGAGCTTTTAAACATTTTTTCTTATACTGCTGTCCGTGTGTGCCATGGTTCCAGAACCACCCAAACATATGAACTCATTGCCAAGAAAAATGAATTTCAAACAGAATTCACAAAGGAGTATGCCTAACATTGATTAAAAAGTTTATATCGCAAGTAACCTCTTGAAAGGCAGCTTTAGATATATATTTGGCTATGCGACCTATGCAACTTCATACGGGAAACAAACTACCAGATAGGGATGACAGTGGAGAGGCTGAAGGAAATACTGGCGTGCTGTACACAAAATGTGCCGTTTCTCTGTAATGGCCGTTTATACAGGCATATAGACGGAGTGGCAATGGGCTCACCACATGGACCATTCCTGGCAAATGTCTTCATGGGCAAGATCGAGGAAACGAACCTCAAATACACTATCAATAACCTGAAGTTCTATGGTCGATACGTGGATGACATCTTTTGCCTGACAAATAAGATCGCCGATATCGATGATCTAGTTCAAAAACGTAATACGGCCCACACAGCGCTAACAATTACAGCAGAAACAGAGGCGAACGAGAAACTAGCTTTCCTAGACGTTCTCTTACACAGACAAGTGGGTGGCTCAATACAATGTCGAATATCAAGAAAGAAAACCTGGACAGGGCAATACGTTAATTTCCAGAGCTTCTAGCCCCTCAACGTCAAACGGAACTAAGTCCAGGGAAGGGCAGCCAGAATACGCCGCATCTGCCCTCCTGAAATAGTGGAAGTATAATTGCAGCAGCTAAAAGGCACACTCCATGAAAACGGTTATCCAGAAAGGTTCATTCTTCAGAACATCAAGGAGCGTATCACAAAGGTCGCAATTGCAACGGCGGCAAAGAAAGATCTACTCATAAGACTGTCTTTTATGGGAGACGCAACAAGTGAACAGGTAAGAAGACGCCAGAGGACAGCAGTCACGAATGCCTTGCCGGCGACAAACTTGCGCGTGCTCTTCACTAGCTCGCCCCTTCTACGAATGGGAGGTAAAGGCAGACTACCGTTTCAGGCCACATCGATGTGCATCTATTCTTTCACCTGTTCCTCTGAAGCGGGATATATTGGCCGAACACCGCGACGTCTGGAGAAGAGAATACGCGAGCACATACCGGCATGGCTCAGCCAAGGACAGAACAGACCGACCTCAAGCTCAATTCTCGCCCACCTCATTGATACGAACCACTGTACATGTTCTGTAAGCCGACGGACCGAATGTACATGAAAGCAGACTGGCCCACCACCCTTCGACTACCCTGTTGTAATGTCTGTATCGTTCTCTTCTTACATCGGAGCCGAATGTACGCTGAGATCTCTCAAAACACACATGCACCCGCAACCTCTAAAGCCGTCGCATCTGCTTTTACCAGATTCATGACAGGTAACCGCTACGAGTATATTCCATGGGGGAACCCGTTTGCCGCCCAAAAGTCAGTAAATGCAAAGCCGTAAGCAATACAAAAGGTTTATTTCCTACACCAGGCTCTTCAAACAACACGTAACCCTATACCATGGTTCATTTTATTAAAAATGACTTTTAAAGATTAAATTTATGGATTCAACTCAGTTGAAACAAAGAAACAAAAAGGATGTTCGATAGAAGATGGTCTTAGAAAGTGATATTGAACTGGCTGTAAGTGTCGCCATGATGACGAATCAGTAGACATGTACAAACACCCTACGACCATTGGCATTGCTGTACTCCGCGCTGAACAATTGCCCTCTGTAGAAACACTCCAGTTCTTGCAAGAGCCCATGAACTCCAGGGATTTAATTGTATTCCGAGGCTAGAAAGTTGGATTTCATCTATGGTGGAGGTGATATTTTGAATTCTCAGTTCAGTAAGCTTTAGAAGGAATGCTGAAGCTGTGCTACTGGCCAGAAACGTCTCCTCCAGCTTGACATTGAGAACTGCCCTGGGAATGATTACAACATAGTAATCGGCCACATAATCAAATGAAGTCCAAAAAGCGCCACCTTTTGCTCTGAAATTTAAAAGAAAGATAGGACTTTAGTAGCAAGTTGAAAGTTAAGAATTAGTCATCTCATATCAATTTTCCCACAGAAACTGATAAGACAAGAACTTATTAGAAAAGATTGATCGATTAAATACAAAATGAACCGTGGATGCATGGCTTCCTCACATTTGCTGGATAAGGATATCGATTTGAGCAGTCTGAATGGTACACCAGACTTCCCTGACACGCACTGAAGATTGAACTGTGTGGCACTGCGGCTTCGCTTGTGCTGCAAAGATGCTCATTTCAAATGCATTGCACGTCACCTTGAATAAATCGTAGGCTTCTTTGTATCGCTGGATCGAACGCACGAGCTTCTGCACAGCATCTGCATAGCTTACCTGCCCGTCACTTCTTGGACATTGTTCTGGTTCTGAATTGCGATACAAAAAAGATTGATTATTTTATGTCCTATTGGTCACACCGCCAACATTAAATGTGCAGCATTTGTAAGACGTAAACAGTAAGCGCTTCACTTACCAGAGTTGGTAGAGCAGGCAAAACTTGTGGTAATGCTCAAAAGCAAGAGGGGAATACATGACAGCATGATGACATAATAGGGCAGTAACACAACTACTGTTGGTGTAATGTTTATAAATGCAAGTTTGGCCAATTAGCTTCAAGCTTGTCAAGTAATTGAAATGTATGCCTCAGGACTGGTTTTCTTATGCACGCGTATATGAGTGAACAACCAATGATGATAAAATAAAAATGCAGGATCATATGGCGACTCATGTAAGGAATTACTCTTCGGGTTCCACAGTCAGGGACAGTGTACGCAATTATAACAGCCCATGACAGATACGCCCGCTCTTAATTCATCAGCAGACACAACTGCAACATATCCACGAAGATAGGGTTTGACATGCCAGTGATTCGAGACACAAAAACCAGGTGCTGTAATATGGGGATATCGCGTACTACAATTCTGCCGGCTTTACATGTAATCAAGGTAAGGGGAGAGGGCGAGATGTGGAGCGTGAAGAAGTTCAAGCAGTTAATGGATATTTGTCAACGGTAAACGCGGACCTCGTACGAGGCTATATTGCGCACACAAGACCCGCGTTCGTAGGAGTATTCGCTGGCATTGCTTCTATATGACGCCCTTCTTTTGCCTTGCGTTTGCGTCTTGGTAACTACTTGTCGAGCGGAGGCCCGTGAAACAAAACCGTGTACTATTGTGGC